AAGGGTTAACGTAGTAATGGACCTCCTAAGGGGCTGCTGGGATTTTAATGGGCTCTTCTACCATCCTTCCCTGCTAGTGACTAGCCCTATGGGTGGCACCTGGACCCAGACAACTCCTCAACCCACCAATGGACTTCAACACCGACCCAACAGCAATGACTTCAACACCAAACCCAGCAATGACTTCAACACCGAACCACCAATGACTTCAACACCACACCCACAAATGACTTCTAACATCACCAACCCAGCAATGACTTCACACCGACCCAGCAATGACTTCAACACCGTCCCACCAATGACTTCAACACCAACCCACCAATGACTTCAACACCGACCCACCAATGACTTCAACACTGACCCACCAATGACTTCAATACCGACCCACCAATGACTTCAACACCGACCCACCAATGACTTCAACACCGACCCAGCAATGACTTCATACACCGACCCAGCAATGACTTCAACACCAACCCACCAATGACTTCAACACCGACCCAGCAATGACTTCAACACCGACCCAGCAATGTCTTCAACACCAACCCACCATTGACTTCAACACCAACCCACCATTGACTTCAACACCAACCCAGCAATGACTTCAACACCGACCCAGCAATGACTTCCAAACATCAACCCACCAATGACTTCAACACCAACCCAGCAATGACTTCAACACCGACCCAGCAATGACTTCAACACCGTCCCACCAATGACTCTTCAACACCAACCCACCAATGACTTCAACACAAACCCACCAATGACTTCAACACCAACCCACCAATGACTTTCAACACCAACCCACCAATACTTCAACACCGACCCACCAATGACTTCAACACCGACCCACCAATGACTTCAACACCGACCCAGCAATGACTTCAACACCGACCCACCAATGACATCAAACACCGACCCAGCAATGACTTCAACACCGACCCAGCAATGACTTTCAACACCAACCCACCAATGACTTCAACACCAACCCAGCAATGACTTCAACACCGACCCAGCAATGTCTTCAACACCGTCCCACCAATGACTTCAACACCAACCCACCATTGACTTCAACACCAACCCACCAATGACTTCAACACCAACCCACCAATGACTTCAACACCGACCCATCAATGACTTCAACACCGACCCACCAATGACTTCAAACACCAACCCAGCAATGACTTCAACACCGACCCAGCAATGACTTCAAGACCTTCAGTTCTCTTCTTGCTATTTATTGGCTTGATTGTCTGGGGAGAGAAGGGTAAGGGGTACTGGATACCCAAAACAGCAACAAACATTTTTAAAGTACTCTCCAGACCCAGAATGGGCTTCCAGCATCTTTATGCCTCTACCACAGTCTACCGTGAACTCTATAGGCCCATGCGAATGGCTACCTTTAAGTATCCTCCTGCCTCTGCCGCAGACCAGGTGACGCTTCACAAACCTCTCTTAGAACACTCTAGGGTCAGAATGGCCAGCTAGGAGACAACGATTGTTTTGGGCCCCAGCAACTTGGCCCTGGCTCCTTCCTCTTGGACCTCTTGGGAGCTACCCTTCCCCAGTACAGCCTGGTAGGTAAGCACTGGACTTTGCCACCTACATATCCACATCATGCAGAGGCTGGAAGTCAACAAAACCCTCCTAGAAAGTCATTTCTGGACACTGGTGGGAAAGGAAGTAGATGAGACCATGAGTTGTTATTGGATATAATGAGAAAAAATGGTTAATGTATATATAGCAATGTCCCCCTAAGGAGCTACTGGATTGTAATGGGCTCTTCTACCTTCCATAACAGAGACCTACCCTGTAGGTGCACTTAGACCCAGACACTCATCGACCCACCAATGACTTCAACTCGGACCCAACAATGTCTTCAACACCCTCAGTTATCTTCTCACTGTTTATTGGCTGGATTATCTAGGAAGAGAGGGTTAAGGGTACAGGATACCCAAAAACAGCAGCAAACTTCTCCAAGATCTCTTTAGACTCAGGCGGGCTACTGTCTTCTAGCTAGATCATTTTGGATGTCCTCCAGCCAGGACCACAGTAAAAAGTGAACTTTATAGGCCCAGATGAGCGTCTACCCTTAAGTATTTTCTTCCTCTGCCACAGACCAGGTGACAACTCTTCAGATCTCTCTCACAGGCTATCTTAGGACATTCTAGGCCTCAACAGCCAGTTAGTAGACAATCATTTCTTGACCCCAGCTCTTTCCTCTGGCTCCTTGGCTCTGGCTCCTTCCTCCTGCACCTCTCGGGAGCTACCTCTGACATAAATGTACAGATTTGAGTAGCTGAAATGTGACCTGTAGCAAACTGTAATCATAAATTTAGTTCAGTCCTTATCATGAAAGAAATATTCAGTCATAAGCAGAGACATAAGGTCATCAATTAGCATCTGAAAAGAGACAGAGCTTCCTCAGGCTGGAAGTGGCACCTGGGTGCTAATAAGATTTTGTCACCTATATGTAATCAGACTTTGCCATCTTCCTGAAGCTTAAAAGAGAAACTCAGACTTTTTGGCTTCATGACACCGGGGGGGGGGGGACTCCGATCTGTCTAGGGAGCTCTAAAAGTATATACATACATCATATATATACATACATTTCATCCCTCATAAAAGTTCAAATATTAGTTGCAGAGAGATGAAAATACTTCCTTCTGATGGGGCACTCTGTAGGCTACATCGGCATCTAAAAACTATATTTGTGGCCTATGTAGAATGCCAGGAAAATGCAGGAAATGGTTATGTGGCGCTGGAGTGGGATAGCAGAACAGTGATTGGTACTGTCGCGATCGAGACTGATGCGCTGGTGTCGGAAATTCAATCAATCCCCGACTTGGTGATTCAAGCCGGTCTTGATCCAATTGACTTTGGGCAGTTCAGCACCCAGAACAGCCTGTGGGCAGGTACAGGAACACCCCAACAGAGTCAGTTGGCCAAGAACTAATGTCCCGCCTACATCCATAACCCCATAACTTGAGGACCCTGACATTGGGATATTGTGATTCGAATGGAGCTGGTTCGATCGACTAACGGATTACGGACTCTCTGACTTGCTCCAGTCGCAGGGTAAATCTGGGTAAAAGTCTTAATTCTGATTTTTATTCCCTTTTATTTTATAGTGAATAGTCATTTGTGTGTCTTCTCGTATTTTTTGTAACTTTTTATACTTTGTACATATTTTATGCTCCGCCCCCACTTTCGGGATATTTAAATCATAAAATTAATAAGTGACTTCTGTGTATTTAAGCACGGGCTCATATCTCCAGAGAGATTCGATTGTATTGTATTTTAGTGTCTTTATACGCTCGGTCAAGCTCATTGCCTATTTGTATGCAATTGCACTGCGTGTGGGCAGATTGCGTGCAGATTGTAAGGGTGACAGGTCTGCCAGACGGAGATCTGTGTGTGTGTGGTGTCCCAACAGACCGTTCTGCGGACAAACTGTTGGGTGGTGGCAAGCTACTGTTTGTGGTGTGTCTGTGTGGGTGGGGAGGGGTGTGGACAGTGGAAGAGTGATTAACACCGGGGTTCTGGCTTGTAGGATAGTGTCAGGGATCCCCGCGATCCGTCCCTCGATGGTCCCGGCGCAGGCGCACTGCTCCTCCCAGTACACGGGCACTAGGTCCGGGCCGGCCGCGGCGTTCGAGTTCGCGCATGCGCAGTAGAAGCCGCGGCCGCCCGCTGGGCACCAATGGCAGCGCAGGGCGGGATATTTAAAGGTCCCTGAGCTGTCATTTCGTTGCCTTCTGGTCTTACCTGCATTCCTGATCCTGTGAACCTGTATCCTGTAAGTTATTGACCCGGATTGCTCTTGACCTTGCTGATTTCTCCTGCCCAGACCCTTGCTTGCCTGACCTCTCTCCTGGATGCCCCTCTGTAGATCTGACCTCCTGTTGCTGACCTGGCGTGTGACCCGACGATTCTCTGCCTGCTCCCTTGTACCTTACCGTCCTCTACATTACCGACTCGGCCTGTCTGACTACGCACTTGCTCAGCCATCCATCCATCCATCCCATCAGGGTCACCCGACCTCCTCACATTTGGCTCTCCCTGGTTGGAACCCCTGGCGGACACCCCTACCACTGACAGGTGTGCTCAGTAGAGGCGACCTGGTCTCAGGGTACTACAAGTCCATCCCCACCATCAGGGGCCCTGGTGAACAAGTACCCTGGGGCTTAGATTCCGCGCTCTGGGCACGCCTGACCGGTGGAGTGCTAGTGGTGCCGCTCGGCGGTCCCTCACAGATAGCTGGAGGAATCCTAGAAGGGTGTGTGATCGCTAGGCTGCTCCTCAACCCTAGTTAGTGCATTAGATTGTATGTAAGATTTGTATCTGCCAGTGTGTGGTCAGCCATCTGGATTGGAGTGGAGTCTCCCTCCGGTGGTGGCCAAAAGGTGAAAGTATATCAAGGCTGATCTTATATACGTATATATGTTCAAAGTTAAGTCCCCCTTATTCCCTCTTACTCCAAGTCACGGCCGCACGTGCGCACCTCGGTTAGCTAGTCGCTGTGGGCGTGGCGTGAACTCGTGACTCTACCCTTCCACATGTACAGCCTGGTAGGCAAGCACTGGCCTTTGCTACCTCTATACCCACATCATGCAGAGCTTGGAACTCAACAACCTTTTCGAAGGTCATTTCTGGACACGGCGGGACAATTGTGCAGCAGCTCCAAAGGAAAAATTCTAATGTATATGACCCCCTACGGAGCTGCTGGTGTTTAACTAGTTGCCGACCGCAGATAGCCGAATGACGGCTGCACTGCGGCCGGCCAGTTCTGGGTGGACGTCATATGACGTCCTCCCAGAACGCGCTCTCCTGCACGCCCCAGGGGGCGCCAACCCGGCGATCTCCGTGATCGCTGTGTCGTACGGACACAGCTGATCACGTGATGTGGTAAAAGGCCAATCACAGCGGCCTTTTACCACGTGATCAGCCATGTCCAATGACACGCTGATCAGAGGAAAATTCAATTGCCGGTTTCTCGGCTGCACTTTCCTCACACGCTGTCAGATCGTGAGGAAAGTACTGCAGAGAACCGGCAGTTGTCAGAGTGGGGATCGGCACCGATCATCAGGGCACTGATGATCAGTGCCCTGATGATCGGTGCCCAGCAGTGCCACCCACAAGTTCCGCCCACCTGTGCCCAGCAGTGCACCCACCTGTGCCTAGCAGTGCACCGACCTGTGCCACTCTGCAGTGTCACACACCTGTGCCCAGAAGTGCCACCTACCTGTGCCCACCAACCTGTGCCCACCAGTGCCACCCACCTGTGTCCACCAGTGCCACCCACCTGTGCCCACCCACCAGTGCTTCCCACCAGTGCCACCCACCAGTGCAGCCCAGCAGTGCTGCCAGTCAGTGCCCCAGCGGTTGTGCCAGTCAGTGCCACCAGTCAGTGCCCAGGAGTGATGCCAGTCAGTGCCGTCTATCAGTACCCATCATCAGTGTCACCTATCAGTGCCCCGCCTATCCGTGACACCTCATTAGTACTGCCTATCAGTGCCCATCAGTGCTGCCTATCAGTGCCCATCAGTGCTGCCTATCAGTGCCCATCAGTGCTGCCTCATCAACGCCCATCAGTGAAGGAGAAAAATTACCTGTTTGAAAAATTTTATAATAGAAACAAAGAAACTTTTTTTTTTTTTCAAATTTTTTGCAATTTTTTTGTTTATAGTGCAAAAAGTAAAGCGCCCAGTGGCGATTAAATACCACCAAGAGAAAGCTCTATTTGTGAGAAAAAAAATGATCAAAATTTCATATGGGTACAATGTTGCATGACCGCACAATTGTCAATCAAAGTGCGGCAGCGCTGAAAGCTGAGAATTGGCCTGGTAAGGAAGGGGGTAGAAGTGCCGGGTAGGCGAGGGGTTAATGGGCCCTTCTACCTTCCCCACTAGTGACCGGCCCTAGAGATGCACCTGGACCCAGACACTCATCGACCCACCAATGACTTCAACACTTTCAGCTCTCTGTTTATTGGTTGATTGTCTATGGAGAGGGGGGGGCGGGGGGGGTCAGGGTTACAAGATCCCCCAAAACAGCAGCAAACTTCTCCCAGAACTCTTTAGACTCAGACCGGCTCATGTCTTCTAGTATCTTGTTGCCTCTCTAGTCTAAAGTGAACTCTATAGACCCAAACGACTGGGGGGGGGGGCCGGCAGGGGGCTGTACATTGCTTCCTGAAATCATCCCAGCCCCCTGCCTTAGTTCTCCTCTCAGGAGCCCTCAGTCCTGATGCAAGCAGTGGGAGGAGTTATGCAAATATCAGAATGCCTTGGTGGGCGTTCCTAGACAGGCTGTATTTGCTTATGGTAACACCCTCACGTGATGCTGAGCTTCAATGATTGAAAGAACTACAATCCAATGAATGAAAGGGGTGGGGCCAGGGACAGTCAGGAAGGGAAGGGCTAGATGATGTTGGATGTCCTCCAGTCAGGAAATTAGCTCTATCTGATTTGCTGAAGCTTCTAATGCACATTGTGAGGAGCTCACAGTGTGCAGTGAAATCACAGTAAGCCGTTTTAGTCCAGGAGAGGAGCTGTTACACCTGTGCAAGACTTAAGGGGAGGAGCCGGTACACCTGTGCAAGACTGAAGGGGAGGAGCCGGTACACCTGTGCAAGACTGAAGGGGAGGAGCCGGTACACCTGTGCAAGACTGTAGGGGAGGAGCCGGTACACCTGTGCAAGACTGTAGGGGAGGAGCCGTAACACCTGTGCAAGACTGTAGGGGGAGGAGCCGTAACACCTGTGCAAGACTGAAGGGGAGGAGCAGGTACACCTGTGCAAGACTGAAGGGGAGGAGCCGGTACACCTGTGCAAGACTGTAGGGGAGGAGCCGGTACACCTGTGCAAGACTGTAGGGGAGGAGCCGGTACACCTGTGCAAGACTGTAGGGGAGGAGCCGGTACACCTGTGCAAGACTGAAGGGGAGGAGCCGGTACACCTGTGCAAAACTGAAGGGAAGAAGCCGATACACCTGTGCAAGACTGAATGGGAGGAGCCAGTACGCCTGTGCAAGACTGAAGGGGAGGAGCCGGTACGCCTGTGCAAGACTGAAGGGGAGGAGCCGGTACACCTGTGCAAGACTGAAGGGGAGGAGCCGGTACACCTGTGCAAGACTGAAGGCGGAGGAGCCGGTACAACCTGTGCAAGACTGAAGGGGAGGAGCCGGTACACACCTGTGCCAGACTGAAGGGGAGGAGCATGTACAGAAAATGATCTACATCACCCTAATTACCCAGCAATACACCCCTCAGAGAACATTTTTTTTATTTTTTAAGTGGCTGTTACCTAAGCACTTGGATGAGGAAAACTGATTTACTAGTTTGACGAATTTCGGTGAAGGAAAAAAAATGGTAATTTTGCAGAAAAATGATTTTGGTTGATATCACTGCAGTCATCCCCTCTGAATCTCCTTCATGAGACTGAGCTGAGCGCCGGCATTAACCACATTCTGATTCATGGAGGGGCTGAAAATACAGCGGGCATTGGCGGGGGCGCGGGGGGCGTGGAAACGTTGCAGCATTGGTGACATGCCCGGCATAGTGGTAGACGGGACGGGGAGAATGCTATGTGCTATTTCCAGAGAGATGCTGGCCAGGCACAGATGCCGTCTGTCAGGTCTCTGACCACAAAACCAGCACTGCCCCCCCCCCCCCCCCGATCTGATCCCAGGACAAGAATAAAAGAACACCTGACCTGGCGGGGGGGGGGGGGATCAGAACCCAGGGGGGGGGGGGGGGGGGGGCTTGTCAAGGGACCCCCTCATCCTCCTGATCTGAACCCAGGACAAGAATAGAAGAGCACCTGACCTGGCGGGTGGGGGGGGGGGGGTCTGGCCAGGGACCCCCTCAACCTCCTGATCTGATCCTAGGACAAGAATAAAAAAGTACCTGACCTGGGGGGGTCTGGCCAGGGACCCCCCATTGATCTGATCCCAGAACGAGAATAAAAGAGCACCTGATCTGGGGGGGGGGTGTGGCTAGGGACTCCCATCCCCCGAATCTGATCCCAGGATGAGAATAAAAGAGCACCTGACCTGGGGGGGGGGGGGGGTCTCTCTATGGACCCCCCCATCCCCCAAATCTGATCCCAAGACAAGATGTAATAGCACCTGACCTGGGGGGGGTCTGGCCAGGGACCCCCCTTGTCCCTCAGATCCGATCCCAGGGCAAGAATAAAAGAGCACCTGACCCTGACCAGGGAGCCATCCCCCAAATCTGATTCCAAGACAAGAAGGAAAGAGCACCTGATCTGGGGGGTCTGGTCAGGGACCCCCGTCCCCTGAATCTGATCCCAGGACGAGAATAAAACAGCATCTGAGATGGGGGGGGGGGGGGGGTTTGGCCAGGGACCCCCTCATCTCCCAAATCTGATTCCAGGACAAGAATAAAAGAACACCTGACCCGAGGGGGTCTGGCCAGGGACCCCCCCATCCCCCAAATCTGATCCCAGGACAAGAATAAAAGAGCACCTGACCCTAATCAGGGACCCCCCATCCCCCAAATCTGATCCCAAGACAAGAATGACAGAGCACTTGATCTGGGGGGTCTGGCCAGGGACCCCCCATCACACGGATCTGATCCCAGGAAAAGAAAAAAAAAAAGCACCTGACCCGGGTGTCTGGCCAGGGACCACGTTGGCCAACATTTCCGTGTTAGATGGAGTGTGGAAGGGTTAGAGCCCCTGTCAATTTTTGTTTCTGTTTATTTGTCACCAGGGATTGCTTCCTTTGGTCCTTGGAAAACAAATACGGGTGGGGGGAGGTGTAGAGGTGTGTGAGTAGTAGGTGTGGCTTATTGAATGTGGGAACCAGGATGTAGTATGGGGGAAGAAAGAAAGAAAGAAAGAAAGAAAGAAAGAAGATGTATGGAAGGAAGGAAGAAAGAAAGAAAGAAAGAAAGAAAGAAAAGAAACAGAGAGAGAGAGATGAGGGAGGGGGCCGCTGGAGGAGATGAGGGGGGGGGGGGAGCTGCTGGAGGAGATGAGTGGGGGGGGGGGAGCTGCTGGAGGAGATGAGGGGGGGAGCTGCTGGAGGAGATGAGGGGGGGATGGCCACGGTGGGGTGCATGCAGGAGATAGATAGGAGAGACGGTTGGGTGGCACATAGAGGAACCAAGAAATGCATGGTCCTCTTTGTGCCGCCCGGCCGCCTCTCCATTCCAGGTGACCCCCAGGTGAGAATAGCTCCCATATCACTGGTGTCAGGGGCATAGTGGCCCCCCAGGGTTGTATAGCTCCCTAATTATTGATATAAGTGGGATAGTGGTCCTTTAAGTAGAAAGAGTGCCCCCTAAATCATTGGTGTCAGTGAGATAGTGGCTCCAGGGAGAAACAGCCCTCTAAATCATTGGTGTCAGTGAGATAGTGGCTCCAGGGGAGAACAGCCCTCTAAATCATTGGTGTCAGTGAGATAGTGGCTCCAGGGGAGAATTGACCCTTCGAATCTTTGGTGTCAGTGAGATAGTGGCTCCAGTGGAGAACAGCCCTCTAAATCATTGCTGTCAGTGGGATAGAGGCCCTTAGGGAAATATACCCTTCAAATCATTGGTGTCAATCAGATCATGGCCCCCAGGGGACAGTAGCCCCCAGATCACTGGTGCCAGCAGGATTGTGGCCCATAGTGGGAGAACAGCCCTCTAAATCATTGACGTCAGTGAGATAGTGGCCCTCAGGGGAGTACTGACCCTTCAAATCTTTGGTGTCACTGGCTTAGTGGTCTCCAGTGGAGAACAGCAATCTAAATGCTAAATTGTAATCTCTAAGGAT